CCTTGCTCTGACTCGTGTAGAGCAGCAGGGAGGGGGAGGAAAACGGGCTCCGCAAAGCCAGTATCCAGTTTTGTCATTTAAAAACCCTTTCTGATCTGAACTTTGTACATTTAATATTCCAGAGAGTATTTAGAAGTTTGATAAAAGTCCCTAATAGTGCTAGAGAACGATAAGGCCCACTATTGTACTAAAACGATGTTGTGGTGCCAAGACAGTATATTTATGCTTTTTTTTTTTTTTGTCGCAAGACTTAACAGTGCCCATCGACCTTTGTCTAATTTGGTATTATACTAAGTAAAGGAAAAAACACCCAATCCTTCTCTCGGTTGCCATAAAAAAAATGCCTTCAGCTTAATACGCAACTACATGGCGAACCAGTCCATTAGCATCATGTATTTCTTGCTTCACACCAGCTGGGAGTAACACAGTGTGGTGAAACTACTGAGGTGGTGGAGGCCAAGATTTTTTTGTGTAGAATAGAAAAGATAACTGATTTCCCCCCACCCCCCACCCCCCATTATGATCAACCATTATTTTGCCAATATGTTTTCTCATGTGTCTTGCAGAGTTTCACGATAGTTTTCCAAAGCTGGGTGAGAATTTATGTTCCGCCGTTGTGGTCAGTCAATTTTCAGCATGCATAGAAGAAGCATCGTTGCCAAATTTTTTTTTCCTTCAAGCCCGTGAAGTCAGCGTCGCAGGAGTAGGACAAAGCCTCGGTAAGCTTCGGGAGCTAACGGGGAATTGCAAACTCTTTGTTTATTGCACCTGGCACTTGCTCAAAAGCTGCTTCGTAGGGGCCAAACCACCCATTTCCTCAAGCAGATAAGGAGGATGCGTTCTCTCCCTGAGTCAAAGCTCTGTGACTTTGTAAATAGGGCAGTAGAAATGTGGATTTTAAAAGTGTGCTTTCTAGAGGGATTGCAGCTAGCCCATTGCAAACTTCTATCTCGGAGGACCTGCACTTCAGGACTAGTTACACTGGCTAAGCTAAAAAGAAGTATAGACTTTAAAACCACCTGCTATCACAACAGCTAAGACATGAATTGTGCCAGAATTGTCCGAAATGGGATTTTTAAGCACACTAAACAGCTATTAAATTGAAAATAAGTGCTTTTTTCCCCCCCTTTTCAAGAGCGTTCTGGTGGTTTCGAGGCCCATGGCACAAACTTTGGGGAAGCTACCTCTGCCGGAGCTCCGTGAAAAAGGAAATATAAGGAAATCTGCCCGCCCCCCCCCAGCTCTTTCGGGGCAATGAGTCAGGAGCCGTTGGCGCAAGTTTCTCAACATGTAATTTTTTTATTTCTACTGCTGATGTGATCATTTTATGGATCGTGTTTGATATACATAGTCACAAGTGTTGGTCTGTTGGGTAATGCCCGGGAGCTAACCAAACCTTCATTTTCTTGTCTATCACTTTCTAATTCTTCATTCTTGGGAATTAATCCAGCAGATGTAAATCTGGAAATAATTCTGTATAATCTCCTGCTTTAAGGCAGTCTTTCCCAGATTTGGACCATGCAGAGCAGCTGTGTTAATCTTCCATCAAGCAGATGGAAGCAATTCTCTAGAGTGGAATCCATTGATTGTTCATTGAAATTCAAACTCTCTATTTTTCAGGAAATTCCAGTGTTTTGAATTCATGTTTCCACCATGCATTGAAATAAGATTTTTAATACAGTCAGGCTGTGCAATTGTTTTCATATTTATTGTATTTTATATTGTACTTTAATACAAAAGTCAAAACACTCTAACTTTCATGTGTTAGACTGTAACTAAAAACAAAGCAATGGAATTCAAATGAAGGGTTCTAACTTTGCCAAAACTAAATATGTGGCTTTAATGACAATGAAATATTTTAATTGTATTCCCCTAAAAAAAAAAAAAAAAAAAGAAAATGCTGGTTCCACAAAAGCATTGACATTCTAATTACTGTTTCTCTGTTGTCTGGGAAAACGTTTACTTTCTTGGCAATTTTGAATTTAGCTTTCTCTGTGCAACATCGCCCTAAACATGGAATGCCATAACATTGATTTTAGTAGGAGCGACTCAGATGACTTTTAAGACAAAATATAACTGACCTGAAATTTCTTGATGGGAAATCTAACAAAAAAACTTCTTATCAGTGAATGCAATGAGACTAGGGACCAGACTTCAAAGTCTCCTATGAGAAGTACGCTAGAAGCAAAACATCCTAGAGTATACTGTAGTGGGGAAAAAAATGGAAGCTTTCTGTGGAAATGGACAAGTTTAATAAGCCCTTTCATCTTTCACGTCTGTGATTTGAGTTTTGTTTTATTTCAGCCTGAAATAAAAGCTTTATTCTTCAAGGGCAATAACAGCATGGTTTTTTGTAACTCCCCAGCTTTCAACAATGGAGTATAATATTTTGGTTCACCATTGTGTTAAAACTGCAAGTGTTTTTCTGACTTCTTTGGCACGATGATTTATTAGTGTTGACACTCCAGCGTTGTTTGTCAGTCGAAGTCAAAAGCTCAGGTTTTGCTCCTTCTGGCAGATTACATACGAATTATGCAAATCGCTATAGTGCAGGTTATAACCTAATTAGGTTATACATCTTGAACAATGATCATTTCTGCAAGGGAAAGCTGTCTAGCATTTCAGCTGCTAATGTATTTTTTTTTTCTCCTTTTTGTATTTCACAAAAGAAACCCCGTTAAGAAGTGATAGTATGTGTGCAGGTTTTGCTGCTCTGCAGCTTATCTGCTTGTGCTGCTAAAATACGTGAAAGCGCCATAGCAGTCCCGTGGCTGTTCTGATATGGTTAGCGGCGTTTCTAGCGCAAAACTGATTTTTTTTCAGGGCTTTAACAAGCTGTTTATCATAATCAGCAATAAACTGTAACTTCACTTACAAAATGTCGTAAAGACTAGAAAAATTTAATTTCTTTGTTTTGTCCAAGTAAGTCTAACCTGCAAATTCAAGATACTTTGTAGTCTTATAGCTGATATTTTTAGATGCCAGTTTATGGTCTACTTGAGAGTTATTTTTTTTATACATAAACCACATGCATTTTAGGAATAAGTACTTGGCTAGTACGTTTTTCTCTAACATTTTCATTAGCTTTCACTTCATGTGAAGTTCTTCCTTTTAGTGTATTCACATCTCTCAATTGCATTAATAAGTGCTTTTTCCGTGTCTGTATTCCAGGTTCAAATCAAGGCAGATGCACATAATTCCCTGCTGACCTCGCGCTTCTGACCATGGAATGAGGGCAGTTTCAGTCCAGAAATCTTTCCTTTGACATCAAATGGCTGGAATTGCCCAATGACTTCTTTATTGCTGAGAAAAATAACAGTATAACTTTTGGCTTAATTCCTTTCTTTTTTGCTATGGGTATTTGTATGCGTGTATACTGTCCTGGTTTCGGCTGGATAGAGTTAATTTTCTTCCTAGTAGCAGGCACAGTGCTGTGGTTTGGATTTAGCAGGAGAAGAATGCTGATAACACGCTGATGTTTTTAGTTGTTGCTCAGCACTGCTTATGCCAGTCAAGGACTTTTCAGCTTCCCATGCTCTGCCAGGGGCACAAGGAGCTGGGAGGGGGCACAGCCAGGAGAGTTGATCCCAACTGCCCCAAGGGCCATTCCATACCATCCGGCGTCATGGGCAGTATGGAAACTGGGGGGGTTGGCCGGGGAGCAGCGATCGCTGCTCGGGGACGGGCTGGGCATCGGTCGGCGGGTGGTGAGCAATTGCATTGGGCATCACTTGCTTTGGATATTGTTGTTGTTGTTGTTGTTGTTATTATTATTATTATCATCATCATCATTAGTATTTTACTTTATTTCAACTATTAAACTGCTCTTATCTCACCCCAGGAGTGTTTCTCACTCTCACTCCTCCCATTCTCTCCCCCATCCCAGCGGGGCAGGGGCAGTGAGTGAGCGGCTGCGTGGTGCTGAGCTGCTGCCTGGGGCTGAACCCCGACAATACAGATAAGCGTATGCATATACATTGTATAGAATTGGCCAGCACAAATACTGGATTAACAGCAGCGACTGGCCTTGGGTGTTCACACCCCTCGAGAGAGACTTTCCATCTGCAGGGTTATGGATGGAAACGCAGGTCGAGTCAATCCAGACAAAGGTCACATACGGAAGAAATGAGTCCGGTTCCTAGCCTGCAGAATCCGCAGGAGCCCAAGGAGCCCGCCGCGAGCCTGCCCGCAGTGGGGTTCCCCATGAACTGCGTTCAGCGCAGAATAAGGGCCAGGCCGTCCAGGGTTGAGGTGCGGTGGGCCAGCCTTGGGAGTTGGCGCTTTACCGTAGCGGAGGTTTGGAGGAAGACGTCTGGTTTCAGGACTGTCAGCGCTTGAGTTATACACGTGCACGCGCACGTCAGGCTTCTTTAAAAAAATAACCTTCATATCACCTATGTGCTGTTTAACTTCATTTACATGTTGACCGGAGCTGGGAAATCTAGCTACGTTGTTAAACTTCTTGGTTCTTGCTAGATACTGCTCACTTAACTGAAGCTTTTATACCGAGCGTTACGTAGCATCTCGTAACGATCTAACAGCAGTAGAAGCCGTGCCGCAGAGTTCATCTGGGCTGCGTGTCCTTGTGCTGCATTGCTCACACCTTATTAGTCTTCAGCAAATGTTCCACTTTTCTTTAGTTTTGGCAAGCTGCTCAGAACACCGTTTCCTTCTTTTCATTCTGGTGGAGTCCAATTGTTCTTTGCTTATACTACAGTAGCCTTTCCCAGAATTTAGCCTGGAGTTTTTATACACTGGGGAGTTTCCAGTGTGTTTAGATTATAAAATGATTTCCTAGTGTAACTGTGATGGAACCATGCTTTCAGATAATACTGTCAAACTAGATTTCGGTGATGTTTTTTCTGTGTTTCTCTGCGGTATTTTGCTATACAGAAATGATGCGTGCAATCATTTTGTCTCTTGAAAGTGATATTTTTCAAATCATCCCCCCAAATAGTTAGGATCATCCCAAAACTCTTTCTTGTTCTGTTTCTCATTAGGTTTGCGTAGCTTACGTGGTGTAAGCAACTTTCTTATCGGTCATCTTGAGCAACTAAAGGAAGACTGTGTGATTACTCCACAGGTTAATCAGGTGAGTGGATAAATACATTTAAAGTATCTGGGTTTGGGGTTTTGGTTTTTTTAGTTAATAATCTCCTCCCCACCCCTCTGCCTGAAAGACTACACCCAAACTAGCCTTCATCGTACGATTTCTTCCCTTTCATTTCTATACACATATTGAAAACCATTCGGGAAGATGACCTGAAGTGAGGGGGGGAGGAAGTCCTTCCTCCTTTCTTTTCATAGCATCATAGAATCACGGAATGCTTTGGGTGGGAAGGGACCCTTAGAACCCACCCAGCCCAGCCCCTGCAGTGCCAGGGACAGCTTTAACCAGCCCAGGGTGCTCAGAGCCCCGTCCAGCCTGGCCTGGGATGTTCCCAGGGATGGGGCCTCCACCGCCTCTCTGGGCAACCCGTTCCAGGGCTTTCCCCAGCTTCTCCAAGGCTACTTGTTTGTGGCTGGTTTTAAGGCACAAACAAATGGTCCGTGTGCCAGTTTTTGATGATAAAACAGTTTAGAAATAAAAATCAAGGAGCACCGAACATTTAGCGTCTCCAGAGTGAACAAGGTTTTGAAGGGCCTGTGTTCAAATACGACGTATAATTCCTCGAAGCAACACTGAAAGCCTGAGGTGATTACATATCCATGCAAGGGTGCCGTTTCCCTTGCTCCCTCCTGATTTCATATTCATATTTCAAGACCACATACAATTCAGTCAACTTCTCATTTAGGACGGTGCTGCGAGAACCCTGGCAAAGTTTTTTTGCTGATAAAAAATGTCCACCTACCTACCGGCAGACTTCCAGGATGCTGACAACCATTCCCTTGTTGCAGTTTTGTGCCCACAGCTGTGCTAGAAGTTCATGTTCCCATTCCTACCAGCTCCTGCCAGTGAAAGTCTGCTTACGCTAACGTGGAACTGGGAACTGGGATGAAGAGCAGGCGCGTGCTTTTCCCCTTTGTGCAGGTGGTGAGGATTTCTGGCAGCTGTTCATGGTTTAATGTCATAAACAGCCACCAAAAGGTGGCTCAGAACGTGACTGTCAGAACCTAACATCTCGGATTTTTGCTGTCCGCTAGGCTGAAGGTTACTAAAGGGCAATTATGAGTAATGTTAAATTAACGTAAAAGCATAGAAAATATTTAAATTTAAGTATTCAAAATAAGCCATTGAAATATGTCTTGAGATGGGCAGGTTGATGGCTGTTTAAGATCGGTGAGTTTGCCAAGGTTCAATTGTGTCTCCTTTTCAGAAATCTTCAAAGTCTTACTGGAGTTAAATGAGATTAGCTTTTCAGTGTCCTACTACATCACCGCAAGGCAAAAAAATGTAATCTTGGATTTGTTTCGAAATTTCCTCTTCAGTCTTACCACGTCGGTAGTGTTAATGGAGAAAAGGGTTTTTTGATACTATTTCATAGAATCATAGAATGGTTTAGGTTGGAAAAGCCCTTTAAGACCATCCAGTCCAACCATTAACCTACACTACCAAGTCCACACTAAACCCATCAAGGGTAGACCAGACTGAACCATGTCCCCAAGTGCCACCTCTGCCCATTTTTTGAACACTTCCAGGGATGGGGACTCCACCACCTCTCTGGGCAGCCTGTTCCAATGCTTGACCACCCTTTCTGTGAAGAAATTTCTCCTAATTTCCAGCCTAAACCTCCCCTGGCACAGCTTGAGCCCATTTCCTCTCGTCCTATCACTAACTACTTGGGAGAAGAGCCCAACACCAACCTCCCTGCCCCCTCCTGTCAGGGAGCTGCAGAGAGCGATCAGGTCTCCCCTCAGCCTCCTCTTCTCCAGGCTGAACAATCCCAGATGGATTTTTTTTGACGGCATCTCTTGCCCTGTGGCTGAAGAAGAGGAGACAAACAGCTGAGATGGTCGTGATGCCAGCGGGGAGAAGGTGCCCCAGCCGCACAGAAATAATCATGTCTTTAAGAGCATTGTTCCAAATTAAAACCAAACACCCAACAATGAAAGGTCCATGCCATGGCAAACTGCTCCACTTTGAACAGCTTTGTTAGTGCAGTAATTTACACTTTTTAGAGTTACATGAATCTTATAAACCATCGTTCAGGTTATCCTCAGAGGAGTATTTATTCTGTTTCTTGCTTAGTGTTGGAGAGTTGCTGAGTCTGCTAGTGAGGTTATTTAAGCATTATCAAATAACTACTGAATTCCTAAATTGAAATTGGGAGTGGAAGTGCTATACTGAATTCTTATTTCACTGTCCAGAATTTATAATACAAAAGATCTTTGCTATATTTATGCATAAAATAGCATACTCTTTCGATGAACTTATTTCTAAATAAAAAAAAACATTTACAAATAATAATTGTATGCAAAGTCTAAATGTTTAAGAAACAAGTGAAGGAAAATCACTTCCCTCCTAGCTGTGTTAAATCTGCATAAAGAATTCCGATTGTTCTTACAATTCCAACAGGTCTTATGATGTTAAAATTGAAAGTTCTTTTTTCTGTGAAGAGGAAGAAGTGGGAAGGCAGGAGAAAGGAGGATCTTTATTCGACTTTTTTTAGTCTTTGCAAACCGGGTAGTAAGCAATGCTTCTATTTTACAAACCAAGTTGTAAGTACTGCCTCTCTCCTTGGTTCCTGGAAAAATCACTATCATCATGGCTTTTAAAGGAGTAGCAAAGGCCTGGCTTTTCAAGAATATGGTATTGTTAAGGTATTCAGTAGTAAGTGAGCACCTTTTAAAATTACAGCCTACTATGAAAAATACTGTTGAACAGTGTAAAATGATGATAAATATTTCATTCTAGCATCACATAGAATGAAATCTACAACCTAGGAGTTACAGGTTTGTATTCCAGAGCTTGCAATGGACTTGGCAGTAGTAAGTTTGGATTTACGCCCAGGGAAGTCTTTGAGGTCTCTTTGAAGGCTCTTATGCCTGTCACTCATTAGGGGAAAAAACACATTTTATAGGAATTTAATTAATATATATGTTTTATTAAATAAAGTGATACACTGAACCCAAATATAAACTGTTCCTCTCTGAATTCCATGTAGGAATGCTCATTGATATTTTTTCGACTTTTATAGAAGTGCAAATTCCTGTGTAATGACCTCAGAGAGATTTAGTAATGTTGATAATCTTGCCATTAATATTGAGCTCTATTATGTAAATCTGTACACGGCAGAAATATATTTTAGTATTCTGAGGCATTAGGAAACAACCCCTTTGTCCATAAACTCACCTGAACTGTTCCTCTATAAAGAAAACATTTCTAGGCTTATATTTTGGTTTTATAAGGAGAAATAATTCTAAGGCACTGCATTGCCATTGGGAAACTGGCTGAAGCCCAGATGCAGGGAAGCTCTGCCAGGTGAAAAGAACCCGCAGCGGGGTGGAGAGAGCAAGGCTGGTGTGTACCCTCGTCCCAGGCATGACTTTGTAGGTCCGCGTCTCAGGATTGTTACTAGGCTCAACTTTTCCCCATTGCGCTACGACTGTCAAAAAAAAAACCCCAGCGCTCACTTAGAGTTCCCCTGCGGCCGCCCAAGTAGCAGCTGTGAGTTCTGCAATGTGAACTGCAAACCGTTTTATTAAACAAATGCCAGTTTTTACCCACAAATCACTCGGGGTAGAGTGCCAGAAAAGATCAAGATCTCCCTCTGCCACCACATGACGGACAGCCCTCGCCTGAGAAAAGTTTGGTGACTAAAATAGCAAGGGTGGGGCGAGCCAGGAAGCAGGAATTATTATTTTGAGGGGAAGCACATGCTGGCCGCTCACCCTATGCCTCTTCTGGCTCAGGATGCTGGTCCCTTGCGTTCAGATGCTTGCTAGAACCTTCCAGAAAGTTTTCACAAGACAAAGAAATTCCAAAGTGCTTGTTTTATTTTAGGCATTCGATTATTTTAGCGATCTATTTAAGAAGAAAAATACTCGCTGCTACCAACACACAACTGCCCGTGCCAAAATTCAACTCACAAAATTGGGGAGTCTCTCGACTGGGTGAAAGGCGCAAAGCGTGCTGTTCCCAGGTGGGAAGGGGTTGTTGCTGAGCGTTCCGCTTGGGAAGCAGGCAGGTGACACCTCAGCGTGCTGTTCTTGCTGTAAATATTTCCGGTGTAACCTGGAACTGTGCTGCCTAGAAATCTTACTAGACCAGCAGGTAAATTCTGCGCGCAGCTATATTAGCAATAAATGCTGAATAAGTCACCTGAAGCCATAGGGGTACTGCAGATTTTTTCAGTATTTGATCCTAAATACATCATTATTTAATATTTTCTAGGCTGTGTTATTTGTTACGCTTAGCGTACAGGACGTCTGATAAAATTGCTTATTACTGTTGTGATAATTGAGTAATACACCCTGCTTGCTCTTTCTTTTTTCCCCTCATAGTTTTGCGTAAAAACAACGAGAATATTCTCCAGCCAGCTCAGGTGCAAACAAGTGAGTAACTGGATGACCTAAACACCGGTCTTGCACATCTCAACATGAAATGCGAAGGCTACTCAAAGGTCAGGAAACATCAAAGGTGGAAGACATGGATGTGTCTGCTGCTTGAACCTTGTTCCCGAGTCCACCTAGTAATTTAGCTCACAGCAGCTTCAGGCTGACTCAGCCCAGCCTTCGAGGGGCACAGTTTTCTCTTCGCGCGCGTTGAACGACTGCCAGCCTATTGTTCCCGACTATTGTTGTCTGCAAAGACAACGTGTACTAAAGATGAGAAACAGGAAACGGTCATTTGTCCTCTTTGCGGCAGAAGACATTTTCCAGATTCCATGTGTTGAGGTAATTGTTCAGAAGAGTATTTTGCTGCAGCGTGCGCAAGAGTTAGATCACGGGAGCGACGGTGACGGCCGGTCGCAGAAATGCATCACATGATTATGTGTTTTATAAAAGAAAACGCTACCCGTTTTCATCGGCATGCAGAGGAAGGTACGCTGCTTACGATGTATAAACTGTGAAATACTTATTTAAATAAAGTAGTACGGAATACTACAGGGGTTCTCTGGCTTTTGCTACGTGCCAGAATACGTGGCTCTTCTGAGAGCCTTACTTTCCAATAACTCCTGTTTCTTTTTGCTTCCGACACCTACGTCTTTGTAGCGTGTTGCTTGTCCTCTTTTAGCGGGTTCTTGGCAATTTGCGATCGCCTTCCTGCAAAGGGTCTCCTTCACGCCTCATTCCGCAGCGGGATTGTTTCCCTGCAGGAGCTGCTGGCGAGCGCACACGCAGGACGGGATTTTCCACGTGCAATCCACGCCAGCGGGCTTTGCTGCCGAGGCCGGGCCCTCATCCTTAGCAAATGGCTCTGGCTGGTCTCCGCCCAGCGCCCTCCCCTTGCCTGCGCGACTCAAGGATCATTAGTAAAGAACTGGGAAGGGACGCGGATTTGGGGCAGAGCGGGTGGTCTCAAATCGCCAGTAAAAATGACCTGATGCCCATTTCCATTACGCGTTTGCACACATTTCTCAAGCACGGAGCAGAACACGAGCGCGAGTCCAACTGTAGGGCAGACAGCTGCTCCATGCGCCTTACTGCTGGGGGAAGCATAAAATATGTAGGAAGCTATTGTGCCAATTAACAGCAAAATGCTTACGGATTAATATCCTCCACGTGCCTTCTAAAACTGATAACTTACATCCGTCTCCCAACCGCAGTGATTTCACTCATGTATTTTTAAAACAAGAGAAAAAATATTTTCATTTATCAGTGATGTTTTCTACTAAATGTACGCTCAAGGTTTTTACTAAAAGGTTATTTCTCTTTATCCACAGTTGAATACCACCCTCTCCAAAGGCCTCAGGAGCTGGTGGATTATTGTAAGAGCAGAGATACTGGTTTTGAAGGCTGCTGCCCTTCAGCCAAAGCTGAAGCGCTCACTCATCCTACTATGGCTCAGCTGGCGAAGAAATGCGGCAGAACTCCAGCACAGCTTTGCATGCACTGGAGCACCCAGGTCATGGAGGGTGGTCATAAAAACATGGCTCCTCTCGCAGGAAAAAAAATGCAAACGCTTTGGGTTTTGTGCACCGAACCAGAATTTATACAGAAAGTATTTTTGCCTTCAGTATGTTGATACCGCGTGAACCAACTGTGCTGTACTGGAAATTTGGAACGTAGCACACAAAGCATGGCGGTATTTTAAATAGGCAAATAAACTGATTGTAGAGAATAAAAAGAACCACCAATAAAAGAGATTTTTTTCCAAACTGTTACAAGCAGTATGGGGCATCCTTCCATTTCTATCACTCAAAACGAAGTACTAAGCAGGGAAATAGTTGACATCAACCACATAATCTGTGTTGGAATTTAATGCAGTGTATATAAGTGCAATTAAAAATAGGATACAGAAATGTCAGTGTCCTGTGAAAAAATGAAATGAAAGCCTCAGAAGAGATGAGGAATGTCTTGGAATGTTTTGAATAGAGATTATTTTCTTTGAAACTATGTAAATTTTAATGATGAGAAGCATTGTGTTTTTCAGAATGGGATTGACACTACTCCAAAGTCCACAAAAGCAGAAAGGATACAGGAAAACTGCACGGTAAGATTTGGTTATGCACTCAAGTCTGACTAACATCCCAATTACTGTTTTTAACACTTTGCTTTGCCTGCCCATCTTCCTATACCAGTTTTATATTGGGGCAAGTCGGTTAAAATTGGCAAATTATAGTGCCATAAAATTACTACAGTGTAGTAGAAAACCGTAATTCACAAACGTCAGGAATTACCTGGAGAGCTAATCGCTGCGTATAAAAAAAGATATCTGTAGAAAGACCTTTTGTAGTTGGCTTTTCATACTAATATTTTTATTTATGACTTGGCTGATTGTAGAACATCCTCATCTGGTTACGGCTGGGTCGCCTTTGTGGTAGGCCCGTAGGTCAAACGGAAGGCGTTTGTATGCTGTGCATAACGCTGTAGGAAAGCTGTGAAACTCTCGGGGATATCCCAGGCGCAGACCTCCTAAGGAAATCACGGTCGGTCCGGAGCTGACTCCTCCCCTGCCTTCCTCCTCCTGCTCGGCTTGCAGAGGTGCCAGCATGAAGGGGATGGACAAGGAAAAGCGGGGAATGCCCGAGGATTGGAAGCATGATTCCCCACCACCACCCTTTTAAAATTTCCTTTTCATACCAAATCTTTTTAATTCATCATTTTTCTCTCCTTTCTCTAATCGGAACGTGTGCTTGCTTTGGGGGAGGGGAGGGGAAACCACAACAACCTTATTGTTACTTCCAAAAATACCGTGGGGGGATGAACTGTTTGGCAAAGCAAGAAGAAACTTTGCAAGAAGATAGGAAACTTCTGTCTGCTGGTTAAATCACTCTGTGTGTGCGATCAACGTACGTGTACGGAGGATTTCTCCGGCTGGCTCTGCCTGTATATATATATACATATAGCTCCTGCCTCGCCCATTTATTTTGACATGCACGCTGCCCGCTGTGGTACAGCACAGCTGCTCGTGGTGCTGCACTGTGCACCAGATCAGAGAACCCAACCAGGTTAAAAATCCTTCCTTCTTATTTTATTTTCCTTTCCCCAATGACCTTTTAAATCCAGGCTAATTCTAGTTTGTACAGACTTTACTCCGTGGTCCCACCAATTCGTTTCACGCAACCGAGGGAATGCATTGCAGCAAAACTTAGAACACTTCGGACGGAGAGGAGGAGGGGGGAGCTGGCACAGTTATCGGATGTTGTTTATCACATTTTTTTTTATCACTTTTTTTTTTTTCTTTCCCCCATGCCAGTGTGTTGGTTTGAGTCTCCACCACCTCTAGTCAAGCCGGCGAAAGCACGGACCTCATGAAGCCCTTAGTATATAAGATAAGATTCGGTATTTCTGGTTCTGTGACTGGTTGAGGATTAAAACGCTCGAGCGCCGAGGTTTGACGGCAAGGGTCATTCCGGCAGAGAGCGACTGCTGGCTAATGCAGGGCGGGAGGAGCTCCTCTGCCGTTCAGGCTCCACGGCATCCTTCTATTGAGTACGGAGGAGCTCTGACAAAGACGACAGACCAACTTAAAAGCATCTTCAGTTCCGAAGGGATAAAGTCTGAATAAGGCACGGGCTAAGAAAGCCGTCGTCACGTGTGCTGCAGGTCTCGCCACAGGAGGAGGCGGTGGCTGTAGGGCCCTGTGCATGAAGGCAGGTGGTTGCCTTCAAGTTCGGGTTTGCGCTGAGGCACTACAGCACCGTCCCTGTTTCTGTATTACCTGATCCGTGGGCGTTTCGTCTAAGGACACGTGGAAAAGATAGATGCAGCCTTTGGCTTGCTAGCTTTGTGATGTCCTGATGCCTTCTAATGATTCCCTCTGGCTAAAGCGCCGCGGAAAAGAGCTGTAACACTCTGAACCGAACAGTGGGGTAGCGGTGAAATACCGATCTCACGTTTCCAGCGGGGTTGCAGTCGGGGTATTTGCGTACCTCTGGCAGTGGCCATGTAGAGTGCTGTCAGAACCAGCTTTGATGCCGCCCTTGTCTTGGACCCTTGCCTGAGGCCAGAGTGCTACGAAACCATCGTAACACAGTCTACAAATAAAAACGAGTCACGGAAGGAGCAAAGGACCCAGTGGAGCCTGTCAGCTTCATGGAGTCTATGACAAAATACAAGAAGAATTTCCAGAAGGAAAAACACAGAAAAATTCTGCCTCGCATTTCAATGAATCTTGGTCAGTTTAAATACCAGAAACACTCCTGATTCTCTCTGTGTTCATGATGTTAACTATACGTGCGTTCCCATAGGTGTTTGATTTTGCAGTAGCAGAAGACGCTGTTGAAATCCTGAATGGCATGCGTGATGGGAGCGAGGTTTCCCGGGCCCCAAGCCTTGTTGTGTGGCTGAAGGTTTGAGCTTTTTCCTTTGTCGGTGATCCGTGAGTCACAGCATGTAATTTAAATTCAGGGAAGGTTACACTAAGAATGGAATCGTCAGATTGATGTCTGCTATTAATGATAACTGATTTGAAATCCTTAACTTTGATACCAGAGAAAAGCTATTTTTGAGGGTAGCGCTTTTGTACAGAGATCTTACATTTCTATCTCAAATCCTGATCCGTAGTTCCTTGAAGCCCGTGCAAAGCCTCCTATCGATGCCATTGACCCTGCGTCAGGCCGTTCAATCAAGGAGTGTGAGAAGATATCCCTTCCTTAAAAATGTAAGAAAAAAATGCCGCCTACTTGTGTACAACACAAGTATGAAACAATTTTTCAAGTACTTTCTTAGAGGGATACAATGGATGAAGAAGAAAAAGCTGGGTGGAAAAAAATATGTTAATACCATTATTATTACAGTATTTATACTGTACAATCTACTGCAAATCTCCATCAAAAATATAGTCTCACTGTAATAAGCAATATCTGAGCATCACCAAAAAAAGTTTTATGCGTATTATTGCATAATAATGGCATTGACCCAGAGAGTTCTATGCGTGCTATACACGAGCCTGTAGGTATAACAAAGCAGAAATCTTTGCGTAGCTTTTAGTGAGAATTAATTTAGCTTTCCTTTTGGATTTGTCCAGGAAATCTCATTAAGAGACTATGCTGTTCCTCAGACTTTCTTATAGAACATGAATGTATGCAGACAGATAGGTGTTTATATAGATATATGTAGTTTACAGATCGGTTTTGAGAAATACGTCTGCAGAGTCTTTTATCAGCTGAGTATTCAGCTTCTGGCCACATTGGTTTATATTTTGGGAGTTCCTGTGTCTAGAAAGGTATGGAAAATCTGACTATGATTTATATTGTGTGTGGACTTCCTGAGGCAGTTTTCCCAGTGCTGTTCTGCTTTAGTCATGTCGTGAAACAAAGCTCCTTAGTTTTTTATCAAGAAGTGACTTAGCAATCATATATTCGAGCCTGCATTGTTTGCCCTCAAAGTAGAGCTTCTGCATGGCTTGAATTAAAATACAGACAAACTCACCTTTTTGGTAACAGCTCCTCAATAATTGGCTGGTTTTTCCTGGTAAACATTTCTGGGAAAATTTGTCTAGATTTGCCTCTGGAATCATTAATGTATCATTTATTATTTTAAAATACAAGAGGCTGTATGAAATGCTGCGCTCGCTAACACCTGTGCAAGGTACTGTTCCAAGACAGAGAGGCCATCTCCACAGTAAGGTTATTTTCTGGAGTTTCAAGCATGGCCCGCAGTTTGGGGTGCTTCAGCATCTGGGAATGCCACGTTAGGTGTCTGAAGAACAGCTATGTCCCTGGCTTGACTGTTGTGATGAGGGGTTCAATAGTTCCAAACAGTAAGGCTTATTTATAAAATGAAGGTAATTTTTAGGCTTTTTTTTTTAGCCTTTGCAGAAAATGATGGCAATGACTAAGTGAAAATTGGAAAGATCGCCCAGAAATAAACCTTCCTACCAGTGGTCATCAGCTAATCCTGCCTTTGAAAAGTCGCTTTAGAGAACAATACCTTAGCAATGTGGAAAAAAAACCCTGTGATGGTGCTGTTGAGGGACTCCTTGCCTCAGAGTGTACCTAAATTCATAAAGCGAGGGCTGGAGGCGAGCCCTGTGCCTAGCGTGCACTCGCTCTGCCTTTTTGGCAGTGAAGGCTTTCCCCGAAACTACGAACGAGAAGTTGGAGTTTTACCTCTAGTTCTCTCTAAAGAAACAGCCGTCACATCAACGTACTATTTCCAAGGCAAACGATGCTCATGAAGTGAACCCCGAATCCTTATGTGCGCTGGCAGATCCTACCTTCGGTATGACAATATCAGCTGGGGCCAGCCGCGTGGCTACAATGCCCATGACGGTCAGAACAGCTCTGTTTTTTCGGCATTTATTTCTGACTGATTGCCTCCCTGTTCTGAGCTGCACAGAACTAACCCAGATTTTCTTGCTAATCCACCCACACAGATGACTTCAGGCTCCAGTGAGGGTGGCTTCCTAATTCATCGATGTTTGTCATTGTTCCCTCTGTCAAAGGGATTTTACAGCGGGTTTTGTGTCTGCATCTGCTTTTGCTAGGAAGCCAGGCCACCGTTTTGTCTGGTCTAGATCACGGTGTCTAAGCAGTACGATGAGTAATGAAAGGAACAATCAGATAGAAATAGTATTACTAAAAAACCATTCTTCTTAAGGCGTAGTTGTGCCAAGTTATGGTTTTAATTTGATACTTACTTTCCCAACTACCTTCAGACCTAATTGTTGTTAGTTCAGGACTTTCTTTTTTTTTTTTTTTTTGGGTAATCTTTCCTAGCAATTCCTTTGCCACCAGGTAGCAGTCTTAGAATTATGGAAGAGTCTAATTTTAGCTAGGTACAAAATTGAGTAATTTGAGGCAATACAAGCTTTTTAAGTGCCAGGACTCAGCTGAGCCATGCTCTCTTTCTCCCGGGCGCGGTGCGCAGTTTTGCACGCTGTGCCATCACTCCTGGCCGTTGTTTTGTGCCATTGCTCATGGCCGTTGTTTTGGGCCATCGCTCCTGGCCAATGCTTTCTGCTAGAAGCTGTAATTGCCCCAAGAGACCGGCACCTGTTATCTCCTGCGTGCTTGGGATACATCACGGGAGCCTCTTCCTCTGGATCTGGCATTCACAGGTTTTATACTGAATTAGTTAAACTGGAATCACGGAGCAAATCCTCTTTTGCTTTTCATCAGGTTGCAGAGGGAAAGCCAGACTCGGCGGATTCATATTTTATGCTCCTCTCTACAACTAAATTGGCATTACAGATGTGGTGGGTAGTTTTAAGCAAAGGCTGCTGAAGAATAAGTCTGCATCAGCTCATCTAAATGAACATTTCGAAAGTACCAACAACTTTGATCATAGCATAAAGAAAGAAGACAACTAATAAGAAATTGGAAAGTGAACAGCAGTGAGATTTAGGGGTAGCAGTGAGGAGTGATGTTCTGTAATAGAAGCAGAACCTCGAAGACCAAAAGGATATAAAAGTGCTGAACATACAAAATCAGAAAGTTTAGCTTCATTAGTTATTTCTTCTTTGGTCAGTTAGCCTGGAGGCGCTCATTTCTGAAGATTTTTTCTTTTTTTTTTTTTTTTAAACTCAGAATTCATCCCTCAAGTGAATTCCTGGAATTACGTGCATATTATTCTCCAGGGCTGAAATTCCTCCCCTCATCCATATTTCTGTAAGACAAGCTTTCTCTAGAGAGAGAACTTTTCCACCTTCCCACAACGACCATTTTTAAGGCACAGCAATGCACCCATTTTATCAGCGTAACCCATCACCTTGCCAGCAGGAACAGGGAACACACCTGAAAATTGAAGGCGCTTCGCCTTCCCTATTATGTAGGTCATTTATGGCAGGGACCAACTGGGGCACTCCTTTCTAGTTGAGATAAACCATTACTTAAAAGAAGATACAATTTATCAGTGTTATCTAGCTAAGTGCAATCAGCTGCCTTTGCAGGAGCGCTGTGGCTCTTCATGGAAGGGACCTCTCTTGAAACAAATAAGGAAAGGAAGAAAATAAACTGAAAGTCAGTGGGAAGGGCGAGGCCGTTTTTCTGTGCAGCCAAGTAGCTTCCTGCCTGACTCCGCGTGGCTCCCTCTCTCCTTTTTTCTTGCCTATTTCTGAACTTCGTCCTATATGTCACTGGAGATTACCTAAGAAAATTTAATGGGAAACTAATGGGAATGGGTTTGTAAAGCGCGTACTCCAGGAAAATTCTTTTTCATCGGGCTGCAGAAGTGTTCCTACCGCACCTGTCCCCCAACAAAACTTTCAAGACATCGTTTTCCTGACGAGCGTGTGTAATAAAGAAACTATAATACTCGTGCATTCACAAATCCACTGAGCCCAGCAGGCTGCATGCTGCTCGCCCTTCTTCTTGCACTGCGGTTAACACCAGCTGATTTTCTTCTTAAACCAGCAAGCGCTGAACTGTTCTGACAGGAAAGCTGGCGTTAACCCCATGGTTTTGCAAATGGGGACAAAGGTGGAGTAGCTCTTGCTGCCACTAATTGCATCCAAGCAGTTAACCCTTTCCCCCTGGCCACACCCCTTCCAAAGCTTTGGAGCTGGGCTCCGAGGACGGTGCGTTGGGTGAAAGCGGCAGATAAGCCAACCTCCTGGCAATTTCTCCTCTTCCTGTGCTGGGAGTCCTTTTCGGTCCTTCAATCTTCTGGCACTTTTTGCAGCCTCCACGTGAAGATGTCTGCACTTTTGAAAGAAAACGTCAAGTGTTCGCACTGCCTTGTAGTGAGCCTATGTTATGTTTATGATCTAAATGACGCAGCTATTTGTCTTTCTGAATGGCTGCTTATCCACCTGCAGCATCACGTTGGACTAATTACAGCTGCCAGGACATTAGAGAATAGCAATGACTTCTAAGGGACCACAGCATGAGAACTATCTCCAAAACTTGCCACTACCCATTGGAGAAAACAGAAAAAAAGAGGAAAAAAACCCAACAAAGCCTGAAATGGATTGGAATCAATGACGCTGGTGCTACTTCCCGGTGATACAAGACGTATCTCTCTGTAAACCACGGCAGGCACGGCCAGCATTAGGGGATGTGCTTCTCTAAGCAACTTTGCGCAGATCCATGGGACCAGATCTCAATCACTGCGCCCAAGAGGAATAATTATGATCTTAATAGTGCCTTTGCTGGCCAGTGCCCTCCGAGAACCATTCTGTAGCTCAACTACTCCTAGGAAACTCATGAGTATGTTAGCAGCATTATCATCCTATTAATGATGGCTCTGTTTTTTTCTCCTGCAAAATAGACTTCCAGGCCTTTCTAGATGAGGCTTCAAAATTCCAGTATAATGAACTAGTGTCAAGTTCATAACTTGGCTGGGAAATGTGGAGCAGGGGGTGTACAATTACTTTCAAGTTTCCTGGTAACAAGGAGAGCAGAGATTGTTGGGT